TATAGTGCTCAAAATAGTCCACTACTGAGTTCCATCGCATGTCTTGTGGGAGAGTTCGTTCAGTTCCTCCCACTTTTTTCAGAGCAGCTGCTGCAAAGTGGCTGTTACGGAAGTATTTTGCAATTTCAACAACATTAGCCTTTATTTCTGGAACACTGAAGTCTTTGGCTAGGAGGTGCATCAAATGAGCACTGCAACTGTATGTTATTAGCTTGGGATTCTCTTCTAAATAATTTCTTCTCACCTTGGATACATTTGCAGCATTGTCTGTGACCAAGCTGCGTACTAGACATTTGAATTTTTTTTCACAGTTTGTTATAGCTTTTACTGCTACTTCTTGTAAGTATTCTGCTGTGTGTGCATTTCCTGATGTATCGATTGTTTCTGTAAGGAAGACATTCCCTTCTTCTGTTGTCACACAAGCACATACAACAGGATCATTGTGGACGTTGCTCCACCCATCAAGACTCAGGTTAACAATTTTACCCTCTGGACTTTTTGCACACTGCTCAATTTCTCTTTCATGCACTTTATCCAGCAGTTTGCCTGCGACACCTGCTCTGTTGGGTGGACTGTATCCTGGTCTTAATGACTGAACCATGTTAATGAAGTGTGGGTTCTCAATCATACCATTGGGTAGATAGAAAGATTAACCTAAATAATGTATCTTAATTAAAACTATCTTTAGATAGGTTTTTCCCTCAAAAAGCATTTTATCAAAAAAATCCAAATTAAATAAAAAATACCCGATTATTTTTATTTTTATTTTTAAAAAATCATTGATTTTTATCCACCCTGCTTCAGTGCGTTCTGTGTCCCCCTCTGTGCCCAACCCACAGAGAATGAGAGTCTGTTGCAACCCCCAGCAAGAAAGCCTGGCTCTTCTGCTCAATTGTAGAGGCTCATGCTTCGAAGGGTATCTAGTTTATTTCTAGGAGTTGTACAAGATGGTAGTTGTCATGTCTGCATATCATAAATCTCCATTGGTTATTTGCATAGAGGGGTGCCTCTTGGGTTTGGAACAGTTTGGGTGTATTTTAATGCCTGGCAGATCCATGTCTCTGCTTTCACCATATCAAATGATGTTATTGATCCCATATGTGATGCATGCTACCTCTCTTCCTTCTGGTTGAGAAGGTTTGTATATGGAGCCTTTCTTGCTGTGGAAGTCATAGCAGAGAGGCCAAGGATAGAATGTGTGTGGTCCCCTCATCTTTGTGGAGAACTTTATACTGCCATTCTCCATGGTATAAAATTTGTGTCAATATAATATCTCCCCAATCATTGTAGATTCTAATGCCCTGAGCCATAGGCGCCGGCTCCGTGGGTGCTCCTCGTCTGGAGCACCCACGGTAAAAAAATTGGTGGGTGCTCTGCATCCACCGGCTGCTCCCCGCCCCAGCTCACGTCCGCCTCCTCCCCTGAGCGCGCCTTCCCCACTTCTCCCCCTAGCTCCCATCGCTTGCTGCCGCGAAACAATTCACGGTGTAACAAGCTGTGGGAGGGGGGAGGAGCGGGAACGCGGTGTGCTCGGGAGGAGGCGGGGCCGGGGCAGGGATTTGGCGAAGGGCTCCAATAGGGGCAGGGAGGGGGCAGAGTTGGGGCAGGGACTTTGGGGAAGGGGTTGGAATGGGAGCGAGGCAGGGATGGAGTCGGGGCGGGGGGGGGGGCACGCGAGGACCCACCGGTGCCCTGAGAATTTTGGCGCCTATGTCCTGAGTCTACATCATAGAGGATGCAGTGTATTGCATGGAAAAATCATCACTGCTGGTTAAACTTCTTGTTAATATTTAAACCTAACTAGTAAATGTGCAGTGTTTTTACTAGTCTCTGTGTAAAGCTGAAAATATTTACTCTCTGTCAATCTGGATACACCATCCAAAACTGAATCAGAGTCCAACATTCGCAGCTGACAGATTACATAATATTAGGTTTGTGACTCAAATTAACAAAACCAAAAACATTCAGAGCTAATGTGAGCATACAGCTTTGACTGATCTTACTGTAGTTGAGTTTTTCAGTGGCCTGAAATTGTCTGCTGCAAAATCTGGGCATGACTGAGAGTCAGTTCCAACTTTAACCTTGAATTTCCTTGTTCCTCCGTTTGTCTCTGTCCTAATATTTTCAAAACAGAAGGGTGTTTTGGTAGCACATTTCCTTTCTTTATGGTAGTATGGAGAGAAAAGCCATTGTGTAGGAGAGTTTCTGATTTGAACTGCCCCGTTGTATAAATACAGTACGTATTTAAGTGTCTAAAAAAGAAATTTCAATGCGTAAATAAGTACAGGTATACAATAGGAGACTACAATTATATATGTTGGGGTTATAGCAAATTACATAGGGTGTCCAGAGAATAAATTAAAAAAATATAAAAAGCAATATCATAGTTTGCATTAGAAATTGATACTAGAAACATGGGAAATCAATATGAATTGTAAAAAGCAACAGAGAGTCCTGTGGAACCTATAAGACTAACAGATGTATTGGAGCATAAGCTTTCGTGGCTGACAGTCACTTGTGTCTGATGAAGTGGGTATTCACCCACAAAAGCTTATGCTCCAATACATCTGTTAGTCTTATAGGTGCCACAGGACTCTCTGTTGCTTTTTACAGATCCAGACTAACACGGCTACCCCTCTGATACTTAATATGAATTGCTGGCTTACATAAATTTCAGGCGTTTTCTATAGGTTTAATAAAGGGTTCATAGAACCATAGAATATCAGGGTTGGAAGGGACCTCAGGAGGTCATCTAGTCCAACCCCCTGCTCAAAGCAGGGCCAATCCCCAACTAAATCATCCCAGTCAGGACTTTGTCAAGTCTGACCTTAAACACCTCTAAGGAAGGAAATTCCACCACCTCCCTAGGTAACCCATTCCAGTGCTTCACCACCCTCCTAGTGAAAAAGTTTTCCCTAATATCCAACCTAAACCTCCCGCACTGCAACTTGAGACCATTACTCCTTGTTCTGTCATCAGGTATCACTGAGAACAATCTAGATCCATCCTCTTTGGAACCCCCTTTCAGGTAGTTGAAAGCAGCTACCAAATCCCCCCTCACTCTTTTCTTCTGCAGACTAAACAATCCCAGTTCCCTCAGCCTCTCCTCATAAGTCATGTGCTCCAGCCCCCTAATAATTTTTATTGCCCTCCGCTGGACTCTTTCCAATTTTTCCACATCCTTCTTGTAGTGTGGGGCCCAAAACTGGACACAGTACTCCAGATGAGGTCTCACCAGTGTTGAATAGAGGGGAATGATCACGTCCCTCGATCTGCTGGCAATCCCCCTACTTATACAGCCCAAAATGCCGTTAGCCTTCTTGGCAACAAGGACACACTGTTGACTCATATCCAGCTTCTCATCCACTGTAACCCCTAGGTCCTTTTCTGCAGAATTGCTGCCTAGCCACTCAGTCCCTAGTCTGTAGCAGTGCATGGGATTCTTCCATCCTAAGTGCAGGACTCTGCACTTGTCCTTGTTGAACCTCTTCAGATTTCTTTTGGCCCAATCCTCTAATTTGTCTAGGTCCCTCTGTATGCTATTCCTATCCTCCGGCGTATCTACCACTCCTCCCAGTTTAGTGTCATCTGCAAACTTGCTGAGCGTGCAGTCCACGCCATCCTCCAGATCATTAATGAAGATATTGAACAAAACAAGCCCCAGGACCGACCCTTGGGGCACTCCGCTTGATACCGGCTGCCAACTAGACATGGAGCCATTGATCACTACCCGTTGAGCCCGACGGGTAGTCATGTCTCAAGATAAACAGCTTAAGTATCCTTCTCCATAGATAATACATCCCAGCATTTAACAAGCCACTTACTGACTGAAATATTGTTGGAAAGCTTCCATTCTGATGTGACTGCCACACTTGCAACAAGGACTAGCTGATGAAGGAGGGGGTGAAAAGGGCCAGTATGGAATCCGTCATCACATTGGTACTTCAAGGGTTTTTTAAGGCATATTTCACCCACTAGATTATAACAGGTCTAAATCCTGTGAATGATATAAAATATATTTAGGGTGGTATTGAAACCTCTAAACATCAGGGTTTAGGTTAGGAATGTGAACACAATCTGAATGTCATAACAGTGAACTCAGACTGTGTGCGCATGTGCGCAAGTGCATCTGTGTATATATATGTGTACTGTAATATTACACAATGTATACATTTTTTAAGCCTATTTAAGCGTAATTTCTTACAAAGCAGAGGCATTAGTTAGGGGATTGCATTCTAATCTTGCAGAGTGAATGTACATTATTTTTGTCTTGCTCAGCACTTGGCATACAGTCTGTGCTTAACAGAAAATAAGAAATGATTAATATCCAGGTTTAAGGAGAATACTGTTCAGTCCAGGGCTTTGGAGCCGGAGCCCGGAGCAGCTCCGGAGCAGTGGAGTGGAAGGTTTTTGCCTGGAGCTGGAGCGGAGCCGGAGCACAGCTCCAAAGCCCTGGTTCAGTCTTCAAACTGGTGCCAAAGCTCTTCAGGAAATATGTTAGCTTTTTGCAGAGTCTTTTTTAATTTGTTTAATGTTAAATATTTCCCCCTTTTTAATAGATGTACTCATTTGCCTTGTTTTAACTAACAGTTAACAGCTAATTCAAGCTCGGACTGGCCCAAACATAGCAGAACTGATGATGTTCTTGTAGGATGTAGATCTGGGGAATCCATATATTGGATCTGCAACCACTGAGGATCATGGAGCCCAGTTCCACTGGGGCACTCTGCCCCATCACTATGCGTTATGAGGTTGGGGCAGTGCTGAACTGAGCATGGGGCTGGTGGATCCATAGGTAATTGTCCCCTTCCCTCACAGTTTTCATGGTGGCTGGATGGGAATCTGTCACCCCCCATCCCACGCCAGATACACAGACTTGGCCCTGGTGGGGGATTTATGCCACAATGTGAGGTTCTAACCCTTTCATTCTGCGAATTCCTTTGCTGCTATGCTTATGTAGGAGATTTATTTTTATATCTTTTATTTTTCTAGGAACTTTTATGGCCACTGTCACTCTAGTATTTGAGCGGCTCCCAGGCATTTATGGATTTATCCTCAGAACATCTCTGTGAGGTAGGGAAGCATTATTATTTCCATTTTACAGACTGGGAACTGAGGTACGGTGAGATTAAGGTGAGACAAGAAGTTTGTAGCATAGCCAGAAATTGAAATGCGATTTTGCCTTTCACCTTTTGCCTTGCCCACATACCTGCTTTTGTGTTTTTTCCTCTTCTAAGCTTTACTAGAAGTAATCTTGGCCACTGGGGCTGGAGAAAGACCCTATGAAAAATATGGCTAGGGTTTTAATGTCCTTTTAAAGTGTTGTTAGAAAGGAGCTGAAATGCCTTTCTAAAAATATCATCAGAACGGTTTATGATGTTAAATCCTTAACATGTTGACTTTCTATAGATAAGCTAAAAAACATTTTTGCAAGTTAATTCCTCTTTTATCTACCTGCCTAGACTTGAGGTTAGTGTTCAGCTTTACCCTGTGTCAGCTGATGCCATATCTATCACCTAAAGCAATGCAGAGCATGCTGCTTCCTGGCCTATCTTGGGCGTTGTCATCAATGTGGAGCCCTGAATTCATGTCTGGGCAGGTGTAGAATTTCTCACTCACATTTATATACATTTATTACTGCTTTACTTACATCATTTTTCAAAGGTCATTCCAGTCCTCCTAGAATGTTGAGTTTTGCATTCCTAAATTCTCCCACAAGTGAAATTTCGGTGTCTGATTAGTGATGGTGTTGCTTTTCAAGCAAGTATATCAGAAACCCTGCAATATTTGTGCACATTGAGCTCAGATTGTAAAATCAAGCATCACGAATAGCAGCCTGGAACATGTCTTTTTTTTAAAGTAGAGAAGTTTTGGGTAGGTTCCCCTCAAGTTTTTCCTTCACTGTAACAAGTTGGTATTTAAAGCATGACATTTATTGTATTAGAAATGTTCTTGTGGAGGCATCAGCAGAATCCTACAGTTTAATATTTTATTGTCTATTAAAATAAGCAACAGGATTACATGTGATAACATGGAAATTTAACACCATTAATCTGGGCTTGAATAGGGACTGGGAGTGGCTGGCTCATTACAGAAGCAGCTTTTCCTCTCCTGGAATTGACACCTCCTCATCTATTATTGGGAGTGGACTACATCCACCCTGATTGAATTGGCCCTGTCAACACTGGTTCTCCACTTGCGAAGTAACTCCCTGCTCTCCATGTGTCAGTATATAATGCCTGCATCTGTAACTTTCACTCTATGCATCTGAAGAAGTGAGGTTTTTACCTCCTGAAAGCTTATGCCCAAATAAATCTGTTAGTCTTTAAGGTGCCACCAGACTCCTTGTTGTTTTTGTAGATACAGACTAACACGGCTACCCCCTGATAATGGAAAAGGGAATATTTCATGCCATCTTTCTAATTTAGCACTCTGTAAAATACACACATTTCACACTATTTATGCTGTTTATCAACATAAATCATAGGACAGGAAGGGAGCTCGAGAGGTCATCTAGTCCAGTCCCCTGCACTCATGGCAGGACTAAGTATTATCTAGACTATCCCTGACGGGTGTTTGTCCAACCTGCTCTTAAAAATCTCCAATGACAGAGATTCCACAATCTCCCTGGGCAATTTATTCCAGTGCTAAACACCCTGACAGTTAGGAAGTTTTTCCTAATGTCCAACCTAAACCTCCTTTGTTGTAATTTAAGCCTATTGCTTCTTGTCCTATCCCCAGAGGTTAAGAAGAACAATTCTTCTCCCTCCTCCTTGTAACAACCTTTTATGTACTAAAAAACTGTTATCATGTCCCTTCTCAGTCTTCTCTTTTCCAGACTAAACAAACCCAGTTTTTTCAGTCTTCCCTCATAGGTCATGTGTTCTAGACCTTTAATCATTTTTGTTGCTCTTCTCTGGACTTTCTCCAATTTGTCCACATCTTTCCTGAAATGTGGTGCCCAGAACTGAACACAATATTCCAGTTGAGGCCTAATCAGCACAGAGTAGAGCAGAAGAATTATTTCTCGTGTCTTACTTTCAACACTCCTGCTAATACATCCCAGAATGATGTTTGCTTGTTTTGCAACAGTGTTACACTGTTGACTCATATTTACCTTGAGGTCCACCATGACCCCCCAGATCCCTTTCCACAGTACTCCTTCCTAGGCAGTCATTTCCCATTTTGTGTATGTACAACTGATTGTATCTTCCTAAATGAAGTACTTCGCATTTGTCCTTATTGAATTTCATCCTATTTACTTCAGACCATTTCTCCAGTTTGTCCAGATCATTTTGAATTATAATCCTATCCTCCAAAGCACTTGCAACCCCTCCCAGCTTGATATCCGCAAACTTTATAAGTGCACTCTCTATGCCATTATCTAAATAATTGATGAAGATATTGAACAGAACCAGACCCAGAACTGATCCCTGCGGGACCCCACTCGTTATACCCTTCCAGCATGACTGTGAACCACTGATAACTACTCTCTGGGAACGATTTTCCAACCAGTTATGCACCCACCTTATAGTAGCTCTATCTAGGTTGCATTTCCTTAGTTTGTTTATGAGAAGGTCATGTGAGACAGTATCAAAAGCTTTACTAAAGTCAAGATATACCATGTCTACCGTTTCCCCGCCATCCACAAGGCTTGTTACCCTGTCAAAGAAAGCTATCAGGTTGTTTGACTCAATTTGTTCTTGACAAATCCATGCTGACTGTTACTTATCACCTTATTATCTTCTAGATGTTTGCAAATTGATTGCTTAATTATTTGCTCCATTATCTTTCCGGGTACAGAAGTTAAGCTGACTGGTCTGTAATTCCCCGGGTTGTCCTTATTTCCTTTTTTATAGATGGGCACTACATTTGCCCTTTTCCAGTCTTCTGGAATCTCTCCCGTCTTCTGTGACTTTTCAAAGATATCTCCTCAGTCAGCTCCTTGTGTATTCTAGGATGCATTTCATCAGGCCCTGGTGACTTGAAGACATCTAATTTGTCTAGGTAATTTTTAACTTGTTCTTTTCATATTTTAGCCTCTGATCCTACCTCATTTTCAGGGGCATTCACTGTTCTACATCCAATCACCACCAACCTTCTTGGTGGAAACCAAAACAAAGAAGTTAAGCACCTCTGCCATTTCCACATTTTCTGTTATTTCCCCCCCATATATTATAATGCTTCCTGTCAGTAAGAATAAAAATTATAATGACTCATGGAACTGTCTGAGAATATACTAAATAAGATTAAAGTGTTGGCCATTGACCTTAACAGTCAATTAGGCTATACATTACTCAGCTGGTATTTGGGGGAGGAGGATGCAGAAAGGAAGCTAAAGCTCATTAAATAGGATGCTGTTGTTTGAAACAATTAGGATGTCTGTAAACCAGGAAATTGGTCATGATACCTAAGCAAAGACTTAGAGGAGGAAGATCTTGTTGTGTGAAGTATTCTTGAAAGAACATAGGAACGGCCATACTTGGTCAGACCAAAGGTCCATCTAGATCAGTATCCTTTCTGCTGACAGTGGACAATGCCAGGTGCCCCAGAGGGAGTGGACCTAACAGGCAATGATCAAGTGATCTCTCTCCTGCCATCCATCTCCATCCACTGACAAACAGAGGCTAGGGACACCATTCCTTACCCATCCTGGCTAATAGCCATTCATGGACTTAACCTCCAAGAATTTATCTAGATCTCTTTTAAACCCTGTTATAGTCCTAGCCTTCACAACCTCCTCAGGCAAGGAGTTCCACAGGTTGACTGTGCGCTGTGTGAAGAAGAACCTCCTTTTATTTGTTTTAAACCTGCTGCCCATTAATTTCATTTGGTGGCCCCTAGATCTTATATTATGGGAACAAGTAAATAACTTTTCCTTATTCACTTTCTCCACATCACTCATGATTTTATAGACCTCTATCATATCCCCCCTTAGTCTCCTATTTTCCAAGCTGAAAAGTCCTAGCCTCTGTGATCTCTCCTCATATGGGACCCGTTCCAAACCCCTAATCATTTTAGTTGCCCTTTGAGATGACGAGACCACATCTGTAGGCAGTATTCAAGATGTGGGCGTACCATGGATTTATATAAGGGCAATAAGATATTCTCCGTCTTATTCTCTATCTCTTTTTTTAATTATTCCTAACATCCTGTTTGCTTTTTTGACTGCTGCTGCACACTGCATGGACATCTTCAGAGAACTATCCACGATGACTCCAAGATCTCTTTCCTGATTAGTTGTAGCTAAATTAGCCCCCATATTATTGTATGTATAGTTGGGGTTATTTTTTCCAATGTGCATTACTTCACATTTATCCACATTAAATTTCATTTGCCATGTTGTTGCCCAATCACTTAGTTTTGTGAGAGCTTTTTAAAGTTCTTCACAGTCTGCTTTGGTTTTAACTATCTTGAGCAGTTTAGTATCATCTGCAAACTTTGCCACCTAATGTTTACTGGTTTATCCAGATCATTTATGAATAAGTTGAATAGGATTGGTCCTAGGATTGACCCTTGGGGAACACCACTAGTTACCCCTCTCCATTCTGAAAATTTACCATTTATTCCTACCCTTTGTTCCCTGTCTTTTAACCAGTTCTCAATCCATGAAAGGATCTTCCCTCTTATCCCATGACAACTTAATTTACATAAGAGCCTGTGGTGAGGGACCTTGTCAAAGACTTTCTGGAATCTAAGTACACTATGTCCACTGGATCCCCCTTGTCGACATGTTTGTTGACCCCTTCAAAGAACTCTAATAGATTAGTAAGACATGATTTCCCTTTACAGAAACCATGTTGACTTTTGCCCAACAATTTGTTCTTCTATGCGTCTGACAATTTTATTCTTTACTATTGTTTCAACCAATTTGCCCGGTACTGACGTTAGACTTACCGGTCTGTAATTGCTGGGATCACCTCTAGAGCCCTTTTTAAATATTGGCGTTACATTAGCTATCTTCCAGTCATTGGGTACAGAAGCTGATTTAAAGGACAGGTTACAAACCATAGTTAATAGTTCACCAATTTTATATTTGAGTTATTTCAGAACTCTTGGGTGAATGCCATTTG